GGCAGAAAATGGAGACGAAAGCAGACGACAGAACATTGCCAGAGAGCAGGAAAGGGAGTGAAAGGAGACAATTTTAGAGAAGAAAACTTTTCGGTCGCTACCCGGATTCGAAACCTGGACCTTTGAATGAGAGGCCAACACTGTAACCTCTAGGCCATGAGAACCCCCTCCCGGTGATGTCTGTCAGGGCCAATCCCAGCAGAGAGGGCTACACCATCTTAGCAGAAAGACCATGATACTCGATCAAGATGTTTTCCCTCTTCGGGTCTCCTGCGAGCGACGGTGGAGCGCCTAACCGCTAAACCACAGACGCAGGTAGAAAGCATGTAAACAAAAAGAAAAGAATAATAAATGCTGTCAAAGAATGGAGCAATGTTTTAAGTACAAGAAACTCCCTTCTAAGGCACGACGATAGTTTTTGTTTGTAAATGTTTACGGCACTTGCAACTGCATAAGGTCATATGAGCGCGCGGGAAAAATTAAACATTTTCGATTGATAGGACATTTTCAATTTTGCCCGTGTGGCGGCCGAAGCCTACTCTTATTTTTATCGATTTTGAACCTCCAGGGGATCTTAAACGTGCGCAACTTGCACACGGCACCTCCGAGATTTTCCGCCTTTATCCGAGAAGGCTAGGTGTATATAAGGGGTGTGGTTGAAAGACAATAGTAAGAAAAAGCCAAGGAGTAGTAGTAGAAAGGCTGCAAAATGAGCCAGGAGCCGAGAGGAGGGGGCAAAGGGGGTGAGGGAGTGGGGTCAAAAGGTGTAGACGAAATCAGACGACAGAACATTGTTATAGAGCCGGAAGAGATGTGAAAGGAGAAAGTTTTAGAGAAGAAAATGTTCCGTCGCAATCCGGATTCGAACCCACAACCTATTTAATAAGAGGCGAACACCTTAATCTCTAGACCACGAGAGCCCCCGACGATAGTTCTGATTGCATTATGATTTGAATCCCCCAACAAAGTGTTTTTAACTTGGATTATATGATGGTCCTGTTTGAAGTTGAACTGTAACTTTGGGTATCCCTATTCGTAAACAACCTTTGTGTTGAAGGGAGTATACAAATATACCAGGTGGTATAACTGAATTTCGCAAAAATAAGATAAGAAAGACTATAAGATAAAATAAGATGACGTGTTATTGATTTCCACAAAGAAAAATCAATAAAATGTTATCACTTCTACAAAAAGTTTGGCTAACTTTGTCCTCAATCCAGCTGGCATTTTCCGGAACATGGATTGCATGCGTGTGGGCAGAGGTCTAATATGCCTATAGGAACAAAGTTCAGATGGGTTTACCTGAGTTCTCAAGGATCCCAGACTCTGTGAGTGAGTGGTCAGTGCTGACCATCAAGGTGTCAACTGAGTCACGTGCCAGATCATCGAACTCTTCAGCTGGTGAATACAAATAATTATGATGAAGATGAGAGTGGTGGTGGTGATGGTGATGGTGAGGGTGGATATGATGATGGTGCTGTGGTTGTGGTGATGGCGTTGATGATAATGGTGATGGTGCTGCTTTTCTCGACAATGGGTAGTCATTTTAGACAGTTTCGACGGAGTTATAGCCAACGCTGTCACCTACCAGCTCGCACCCCTCCTATATCATCCAAACATCTCCATGGACACAAAGAGACGGCTTATCCCATCAATATTCATACCAACAGCATGTTATCAGTGCCAGACCTGGACTTTAAGCAAAACCCATTAAAGCAAAATCGCCGCATACGAAATGAAATGTCTCAGTAAAACCATTAACATCGCAAGACGAGACAGGCACAGAAATGAAGAAGTAAGAGCAGCTATCGGCACTGAGTCCTGCCTGCCTTACATAGAAAGACAGAGGATAAAATGGTTTGGCCAGCTGTTACGCATGTCACCAGACCAGCCAGCCTCGAGAGCCTAAAAAACCAAGCACTCTGGCTATAAAGGAAGAGGAAAGCCACAAAAGGTAGATCGAGGGTGTCAAGGAACCCAAAGACAACTTAACGTCACAACTGAAAGAGCTGCGGAACTGGCCTACCATAGAAAACTACATCTCCCCTCGACACTTAACGGCAACAGAGGATGAATAAGTGAGAAAAAAAAGTAAAGTATATATTATAATTATACGTGTTACG